GTCCACCAGGCTGTTCCCACGTGAACAGCTTCAAGGTGGGAGAGAACTGGAGGCAGGAACTGCGGGTGATCTACCAGTGCTTCGTGTGGTGTGGAACCCCAGAGACCAGGAAAAGCAAGGCAAAGTCGTGCATCTGCCATGTGTGCGGCACCCATTTGAACAGACTCCACTCTTGCCTTTCCTGTGTCTTCTTTGGCTGCTTCACAGAGAAACACATTCACGAGCACGCCGAGACGAAACAACACAACTTAGCCGTAGACCTTTATTACGGAGGTATTTACTGCTTTATGTGTAAGGACTATGTATATGACAAAGACATTGAGCAAATCGCCAAAGAAGAGCAAGGGGAGGCTTTGAAATTACAAGCCTCCACCTCGACCGAGGTGTCTCACCAGCAGTGTTCAGTGCCCGGCCTCGGGGAGAAATACCCAACCTGGGAGACCACTAAACCTGAGTTAGAACTGCTGGGACACAACCCGAGGAGAAGAAGAATTACCTCCAGCTTCACCATCGGTTTAAGAGGACTGATCAATCTTGGCAACACGTGCTTTATGAACTGCATCGTCCAGGCCCTGACCCACACTCCCATCCTGAGAGATTTCTTCCTCTCCGACAGGCACAGATGTGAAATGCCAAGTCCCGAGTTGTGTCTGGTGTGTGAGATGTCGTCGCTCTTTCGGGAGTTGTATTCTGGAAACCCGTCTCCTCACGTGCCGTATAAGTTACTGCACCTGGTGTGGATCCACGCCCGGCATTTAGCAGGGTACCGGCAGCAGGATGCCCACGAGTTCCTCATTGCAGCGTTAGATGTCCTGCACCGGCACTGCAAAGGGGATGACGCCGGGAAGGCGGCTAACAATCCCAACCACTGTAACTGCATCATAGACCAAATCTTCACAGGTGGCCTGCAGTCGGATGTCACCTGTCAAGCCTGCCATGGGGTCTCCACCACGATAGACCCTTGTTGGGACATCAGCTTGGACTTGCCTGGCTCTTGCACCTCCTTCTGGCCAATGAGCCCTGGGAGGGAGAGCAGCGTGAATGGGGAAAGCCACATCCCAGGAATCACCACCCTCACGGACTGCTTGCGAAGGTTTACAAGGCCGGAGCACTTAGGAAGCAGTGCCAAAATCAAGTGTGGTAGTTGCCAAAGCTACCAGGAATCGACCAAACAGCTCACGATGAATAAATTACCGGTCGTTGCCTGTTTTCATTTCAAACGGTTCGAACACTCAGCCAAACAGAGGCGTAAGATCACTACATACATATCCTTTCCTCTGGAGCTGGATATGACACCGTTCATGGCCTCGAGTAAGGAGAGCAGGATGAATGGACAGTTGCAGCTGCCAACCAATAGTGGAAACGATGAGAATAAGTATTCCTTGTTTGCTGTGGTTAATCACCAGGGAACCTTGGAGAGTGGCCATTACACCAGCTTCATCCGGCACCACAAGGACCAGTGGTTCAAGTGTGATGATGCTGTCATCACCAAGGCCAGTATTAAGGACGTCCTGGACAGTGAAGGGTATTTACTGTTCTATCACAAACAGGTCCTGGAACACGAGTCAGAAAAAGTGAAAGAAATGAATACGCAAGCCTACTGAAGCGACACACAGACCTACCTGTAGTGGAAGATGACAGCACCCTTACCACAACTGGCATCGAGATCTAAAGGACCTACTTGCATGGCCCATGGGCCTGACAGAGTAAGAATTGAACAGTTTCCAGTGTCTAAAAAGGTCCTGATTGCAAGAGAAATAGAAGGGGCGGGAGAAGAGGCTCTAGTCTAAGCCGTCACTTAAATGAAAATTAAATGGCAGGAATGCTCTGGGTGGGGAAGGCAGAAGCAGGGAAATCTTGACACTGGTACATATTCCTATATTCCTCCAAAAGATTGTGTGGGGAAAGTGTGGGGTGGGAGGGGGGTGGTGTGGGGGGGTGTGTGCCCTTGTAACCGTAAAACATCTTTCTCCATGGGTGTTTCAGCTTCAACTGACCAATCACATAACAGTTATATGTTTGTGGGGGGAAAGAACAGTTTCTACAAGTGCAGCCCATTACATGTATGGGTATGAAAGTGGGAAAGTGGAGGAGGCAGGGATATCTCATTGACAAACACCTTTGCCAGTTTCTTTGTATTCGTGATTTTTTGTGCTATTAAATGCAGTATTAAACAAAGAAGAGCCCATGTGGGCTCGTGAAACAAGAGAGAAGGGGGCTTGTATAAGGGGAGCAGATGCTCCAAAGGTAGAGAAGACAAGAAACACTGTAAGATAAGCAACCAACACAGACAGGCCTCAATTAAGAGTATAGTGTGTGAGTGTTTAAAACAAAACAAAACAAAACAAAACAAAAAAAAAGCTGTATGATATACTTGAGCAAATCAATGAACCTCTTTGCGATTGTTTTCTCATCTGTACAATGCAGATAATTCCTACCTTAAAGGGTTATTGTTAAAGATTAAATGATATAAAATGTGTCAAAGTATAAAGTAAAAGGCTTGGAACTTTGTAGGGGCTCAGTAAACGTTTGTTGGATCTGAAACTTCTTTGGACCAGGACCAGAATGCATCAGAGGTGAGGGTCAGTCCTACCCAAGACCCATGGACAGGACATGCGTATCACATGCAATCACACAGACACACACACCCACACCCACTCTTATAATTCCCTCTCCAGTAGTGTCGACTTGGGGCCCCAAGGCAGTGGACTCCACTATTGTCTCTGTGTACAAGGCATCGGTGCCACACCCGGGATGGGGGAGGGGGGAACCACAGCTGGCCCCCAGTGTCATTATTCTGTCCATTTGGAAGACGTGTTGTTATCATGACTCAGCACCCCAGGGGTGGGACTCGGGGCCCGTAGGCTGCCTGGCTTCCATGTGAAGGGTATCAGTGGTCTTTGCCCTCCAAAAGCATTATGAGCATAGCTGCTCCGTTCACCTGCAGGCATAGATCACAAGAAAGACTATTCCAAAGCTCACTGGTCCATCAGCCCGGGGATAGTGATGGAGTGGCACATTGGCCTCACATGGGAAAGAGCAGCCTGCAGAGGGCTAAGCCAAGACAGATGGGATGTGCCCAGGATGGGTTAAGGGCTGGTGGGTCCTCTTTTTCTTCTCAGCATCAGTTAGAAAGGTACCCATTATCTAGAAAATCCTGGTGGGGGCAGGGTGGGACTGAATGTTTCAGACCCATGGGGCTTGGATCCACTGGCTCTGGTAAAAGGCTGGGTTCCCCCAGGGCTCCGCAAGTCCACTTCATGGTCAACTCCTTTGGAAATAGATATTTACTTATTCAGTTGTGGATACATCCCCAACTAGCTCAGAGGCAGTTTTGGGGGGGAGGTCTCCTCTCGTACCCTGGGCTGTGTTCTGGACCCCTAGCACCGTTCCTGGCACATATTCAAAACATGTTCTGGTGGATGAATGAACCAATACACCTTCCTTTCACAACCAAATTTTCATCACCACTCAGGACTCATAATCCTCAGGAGAAAATGGAAAAAGGGTGGTTTTTGAAATCTTGTAGGAGGTGGGAGAGGAAGAGATGAGTGGCCTCGGATGCCACTTGGCACCTTCATGCAGGTGTCTGACTCCCCTTTGCGATGTGTGGGAGCCCTGCCTGGGAAGACAGCCGTGTCCTTCTTCCTCGTCTCTGCCATGGGAAGCGTTCAGTCAGGCATGCGACACCAGATCCTGCCTGTTTGCACAGACACTGTCTTACATTTTGAAATCATTTTTCTTTGGGAATAATCTCTAACTTACAGGAAAGTTTCAAAAATACAAATAGTATAAAGAACATCTATATACCCTTTCTCAGATTTACCTATTGCTAACCTCTCACACTATTTTGCTTTATCGTTTGCATGGATGCCCTCCCTCGTGTGTGTGTGTGTGTGTGTGTGTGTGTGTGTGTGTGTGGGCGCACGCGTACCAAGCAAGGGTCAATTACATCATGGCCCTTCATGCCTAAGTACTTCACGGCACGCTTCCTAAAGAGGCATAGTCCCTATATCACAGCAGGGTTAACAGCTTCAGTAAATTTAACATTGATGCAACGCTATTATCTAATCTACCATTTGTACTCCAGTTTTGTCTGGCGGCCCAATAGTGTCCTTTATCACATTTTCCCTCTTCATCACAGGATCTGGTCCTGGGTGAGCTTTGAGCTGTCATGTCTCTTTAGCCTCCTTTAATCAGGAATATTTCCACAACCTGTCTGCATCTTGTATGGCATTAGTATTTTAAAAAATTAGTGGAGGTATTGGAGATTGAACCCAGGATCTCATGCATGCTAAGCACACGCTCTACTACTGAGCTATACCCTCCCCCGGCATTAGCATTTTTAATAGAAGGTTTCTCCTTTGAGGTTTGTCTGATACAGAAACTGTCTTTTAAATACCCTGCTCTCAGGCATAGTTTGGAGAGGTGAATGGCGCCAGAAGGCTGAAGCTGACCTCACTGTCTCCACTGGTGGAAGGCACAGACCACCAGAGGGAGCAGCTGCGCCTGGCACTTCCTGACTGAAGCCCGCACCTCCTCTGTCGGGAAAACACCATTGTCCCTCAGCAACAGGGGTACCATTCAAGCCCAGCCCTATGCCCCTACTCACCAACCCCCAAGCTGAGCCATGGAGTTAACAGCAGCAGGGCTTGCTTTCAGATCACATCACGGTGGAATCCAGGGCATCGTGTATTTAGCAGGTATGTGTTACCTGGAGCACAAATGGAATTTAGGCATGTTCCAGCATGTCTGGTACATGGGAGGGCATTTCTATGGTTGGGGCCTTTAGAGGGGATCAGGAGGTAGCAGCTTTGGCACCTTCATCAACATGCCCATGGTGGGCACTGCAGCAGTAAGGTGGCAGGAATGGGGTAAACAGCCCCGAAGCAGATTCACGGGCACAGCACACCAAAATGGGGCACAGGATAAGTGAGGAAGAACCTGGGTGATGCCCCAAAACAGATTGGTTTCTGACCTACTGGGGACTTGCAGACATAATTGGGCTATTTTACATGGGGGCTGGAATTCCTGGGTGAGCAGATGTGGGCAAGAGCTGGTGAAATTTCAGCTAATTTTTTTTAACAGAGACTCTATTTCCACAGGCTGGTAAGGCCAGGGCAACTCAGTTCATATGTAGATTTATGGAGATTTATTTATGACCTGAGCCCAGAAGGGCAGAGGCAAAAGTTGGGGGCTCACAAGTGGGGGCCTTATCCACCCATAGAGCTCAGAATGAGGGAGCAAACAATGGGGTACTTACCTTTCACCCATTACACATGCTTTCCATGGTTTCTTGGCTTAATCTGATTGGAAACCCAGAACCCTACCACTTCCCATTTCCCAGAATAACCAGGTGCTGAAAGTTACTCCGGCCTACAGGTCACATTAGGTCACTGCCTCACTTCTTCCCCATCCACAGGCAGTCCTGATCAGGGATGCCATCAACCAAGAGGCCTTTTCCAATCGAAACACAGAGTGGCCCCCATACTATTAGTTGTCATAATGCAAAACACCTGGTGCCAGGAAACTGCACCAAATGTATATTTCACACCCAGAAGCAAAGGCCCTAGTCCTCTGAGAGGATGTAACCCAGCACCCACAGCAGTGTGTCATTTACATACCTACCTTCCCCTGCAGGTGACCCACTGCCACTTTTCAACTCTTGTCTTGAAGCATATCAGATATACAGGAAATGCACATATCATCAGGGTCCAACTTCACAAATTTCGACAAAATGAACACATCTCAGGAAACAGCATCCAGATAAAACACTAGAACATTACCCATAAGTCAGGCCCCCTTCCTGCTTCCTTTCAGTCAATAACCCCAAAGAGTAATCCCTATCCTGACTTCTTTCACTGTAGATCAGTGTGGCCTTTTTAAATGCCTTCTCTACATGGAATTATTCAGTATGTACACTTCTGTGTCTGGCTTCTTTTGCTCAACATTTATGAGCTTCAGATCTGAAGTCCTGTTGTCAAGCAAAAATATGAGGAGCATCATTATTTCTGTCAAATGAACTAAAAGTGAGGATTCCCTACTCTTCCTAGTGATTTCTCACTTATTAAATCAATTCAGAGGGACCCAGGACATTGCAAAGTTAGACCCCGAGAGGGTCTATAATCTCCTTCCTGTACAAGAAAATGGATGGAAAACAGCCTACCAGATAAGTCTGGGCTTCTTTAGGCACCCAGAAATCTTAACCTTGGGCAATATTCCAGCCCTATTCTAGTAAGTCCTCTATTGTGGTTAAGTCCTCAAACGTAAAACGTGCATCAGAGTCACCTGGAGGGCTCATTAACACACAGATTGTGGGGTCTCAACCCCAGAGTTTCTGATTGTAGTAGATCTGAAATGGGGGCTTGAGAATTTGCATTTCTAACATATTCCCAGGTGATGCTCATGCTTCTGGCTCTGGGACCATACTTTTTTATATTGTTATGTTTCATACTGTATTTTTAAAAATTTTTTATTGAAGTGTAATTGATTTACAGTGTTAGTTTCAGGTGTACAGCAAAGTGATTCAGTTACACATACACATACATATATACTTTTTTTCTTTTCAGATTCTTTTCCATTATATGTTATTACAAGATATTGAATATAGTTCCCTGTGCTATACAGTAGGTCCTTGTTGTTTATCTATTTTATATAGAGTTGAGACCACACTTTGAGAATCACTGATCTATTCAATTTGTTTTCATCCCATGGTACTTGGAGCCCAAGGAGTCTATGAAGATGCCCTGGGGTGCACCTTGGGGAGGAAGAGGGAGGGCAAATTGGTGAGGATCAGGAACTCCCAACCCCACTTCAACCAGAGCAACTACCCTCTGATTGATTTTATATTTGAGGGTTCCAAGTAATATTTGAAGAAAGAGTTCTGCTACTAGAATATTTTAAAGTTGACAATCACTCTGCTAAGGAACTTTAGACCCTGGGGGAATGAGGTATTTAAACTACCTATGTGGAATATCTGGAGAATGATCCAACATGCTACAGAGGCCTGGCCTCAGATGTGCCCTTAATCTAGATGGTCCTGAAGGGGACTTAATTTCCTTGAAACTTAAAGAAGTGCATATTTATGAGGATGGAAGTGATAAGGGGAAACGCCTAAGTATCAATATAGCACAAAATACTATGTATAAAGTGAGAGTTTTTTTCCTGGCAATATAGCACACTAAGATGACATGACTAGTACTCCCCATCCTCAACTACAAACACATTAACATTAGATAAATCACAACGAAAATTTTCATTTATAGCTGAGCTTAAAAAAGGGCAAAGTCATCAAGTGGTAGAGTGCATTAGCATGCATGAGGTCCTGCGTTAGATCCCTAGTACCTCCCCTAAAAATAAATAAACCTAACTACCTCCTCCTCAAAGAAAGAAAAAAAATACAAAGTCAAATCTCTGAAGAAAAAGAAAAAGGCAGTCTAGTAATTGTAAACGGATGGACACGGTGATAACTGCTTGTGGTATTGGTTCCAGATATGAGGCCCTAGGGGCTA